AGACCTTTTTCTGTGGCCTACAGTCATTTTGCTCATATGTGGGCACCTGTGCCTTACTGACCACCTGTCTGTCCCACTCTGATGCTTAGCTGAACTAACGTGAACAAATTCAATTAACTGTAATGACATTTCTGAAATCACGTGTGACTTCACACATGCAACAACTGTCATAAGTCCTCCTGCATTTCTCAGCACTGCAGGGCAGAGCAGCTGAGCAGAGCAACAGTAACATGAAGACAAACTGTTTTTGGGACACCGCTGAGGAAACTTGGCTCATGCTACGCTCCACTCTCTATGTTGACACAGCGCTGTGAATGTGGAGCTTGTGCGTGGGGAGCAGGAAGAGCCGAAAACCAACAAAGAGAGAATTCTGCTCAGTCACCTCTTCTACTTGGACAAACAGGACTGCAACGAGTAAGGTTATGGACAGAAGGAGAGCCTGTTTGATGGGACAGGGTGCAAACACATGCTCACCCTCTTTAGCAGAGCAACAATTCACCGTCTGACCATTTGATCCTGGCTGCAACAGCCTCTCCCAACTCCCCGTCAGCAAATTCCTCCTGACTCCAACTATTTCTCAAACACTTTAAGTAATTCTTACGTGGAAACGCCCAAAGTCATTGTAACAGCTGGGCACATAAGCCTGTGGTGTTCACCGCACAGCGTCGACGGCACTGGAGCTATAATTCCAGACTGGGCTGGATGATGAACACCTAATCACAGTTAGAGGCTCTGTGGAGGTGAGTCATGACCACAAAAACAAAAATGATGCAACTACGTACACAGTGACATCACTGCACTATCAGTGATCCTCGAACAGCAGCTACGAGCACGAGGCTGACGGGAAACCACTCCGTCCTTCTGAGAGTGAAACAACAAGCTCGCAGGACAAAGCAGCCTGACGTCTGATTACAACAACATCGAATGTGAAGACGGAATAACAGTGACACAGCTTCCACAACCACAAGTGCATTACAAGAAAGAATGACAGTTCTTCAGTTTAGGGTGTTGTTTAGCATAAAGATGCTATTGTGTTGGGGTCTTAGAGTGGAATGGGCTACAGAGTGTGTGTGTGTGTGTGTGTGTGTGTGTGTGTGTGTGTGTGTGTGTGTGTGTGTGTGTGTGTGTGTGTGTGTGTGTGTGTCTCACCGCTGTGGACAGCCTCGAGGCCAAAGTCATCTCCAGGTTTCCCTTGAGGCCGAGCAGAGCGGGTACCAGGATGAAGATCTCTGTGATGTACTGGAACGCCTCCCAGTGCTGCAGACACCAGAAAGTCACTTTGCTTTTTCTGGCTATCACTGAACTTCACACTTACATGTTGTGTTTTCAGGATAAGGCAAACTGGGGATTTGCATCATTTAGCTGTGAAGCAGTGAAGTAAATCCAGCAGCATTCACAGACTTTTCTTTTAAAGCTTCGTAATTCTGTCAGATGTTGCCAACAGGGATAACACGACTGCTGTAACGTCAGCTGAGCAAAGCAAGAAACTCTTCTCCTCACACCTTACAGCAAAGCTTTCACGTTTGCATGAAGGACACATTTGGGACGCGAGCAGCACTCTTCCAGCTCGTTGGCTCACGTCTGACAGATGGTTTCACCCAAAAAATGTAAATGTGCAGAAACGGAAAGGGTTGCAGGCAGGACCACGCTCGAGTGGGCGCTGCGTTTCTACGTTAAAATCTTCAACACATTCACAGAGAAACACTGAAATTAAAACTACGGTTTAGAAATTCTAGAAGTAGAACAGAGGTCCCCGTCTCCAACCTGGGACTTCTATGTAAAACACCCTGCTCACAGACGTGCACCTTAAACATGTGATATGACAGAGTGCCGTTACAGAGCGGCCTGGTGAGATTACAGTCATATCAAGCTTGGTTGCCAGCATATAACCCAAGGAAGGTTTGGATAATGTGATCATTATTAGTCAGTGACTGATGTGTTTAGTTATTTTTCCACCTCAGCCAACACTGTCCTTTTACTGCAGCCTGGTGGGGTTGGGTGACTACTACTTTCAAATGTAGCTTTACAGCACAACACTTCCCAGCCTTGGTAACTTCGCTGCAGTTGTGCTACTATGTTCCACATTCACAGAGAGCAAAACTGAACAAAACCCATATTTGTAAGGAGCTTGAATGAGCCTTTAATCCCAGCCTGCTTTGACTGGTTTAATAATGCTGGTTGCTCAATTTACCTGCACAACATCCAGCACCATTCCAGCTGATACGGTTCCAAATCCAGCTAGAAGGAAAGGCACCAAAATCTGAAATGCCATAGCCAGCACTGACTCCTTTGGCATATTCTGCGTGTTCGATCCCAGCCCTTCCTCCTCCTCTTCCTCCTCCCCATCTGCCTCTTCACCTGAGAGCCTCCTCTCAGTGAGCATAGGCTCCGTCTCCGAGCAGTCTCCATCGCCACAGTCTGCTAAAGTCAAAGAGGCCCGAGAGGCCCGGTCCAGAACCCGTCTACCTTCTATATGAGACGTCTCCTGTCTGTACCCGTTCTGGAGTGAGTTGGCCTCAGATTTAGCTCCAAGGTCCACCATGGCCAACCGCTCCTCCTGAAGTTTGGTGTAACCGGTGGGGACCATGGTGTGGAAAATGGAGGCGATCCACCCCGGGGAAACAGGTTTCAGGGAGAGGCTGTTCCACCCGCCACCTGCTCCACTCATGCGCACTGTGAGACTAGAGCCAAGAGACTCCCCTATAGCTCCTTGTAGGCTTTGAATGCTCATGATGTGGTCCAGGGCTCCAGTGTCTCATCTCCTGTCATCCGGTCTGAGGGCGGTGTCCAGGCAGCGAGCGGTCGAAGCGAGCTTCAGGGATTCATCAGCCTAAAGAAAACACACACGAAATGAAATGAGAAGAGGAATATCTGCCAGCTGCTGATATGTATAAGACAAAACAACAGTAAGTGATAAAGAGGAACAAACGGTTCTTAAAGTGGAAATGCAGAGAAACAAGAGGTGACGTTAGAGCGTACCTGTCATTACTGCAGGGAAGGATTGTGCTGAAGCTGCTGTAACATACAACACTTTATTTTTAATACATCATCAAGCAACGACGGGAAGAAATCCCAAGACTGGATCACCATCACAGATATATCAGTGCCAGCATCACTGCTCACCTCAACAACGCTTTCTGTTAAAGGACTGCTACCAGTTAGAAAATTAAAGAAATGAACAGGAACAGCTGAGAAGCATCCCAAAGAGCACCGGAAATACAATTCAGCCTGTTCCTGTCATTCACGTCTCGTTTGAAACGATGATGACGATGAATATAGAGAGTAGAAGTTAGCTGCTAGTGTCGCTGCTGTGGGCTGACAAACTAAACCCGAGCTAGCATCCAAGTGACGAAACGTTTCTCCCACAAAACGCTGCGTCCAGATGAACAGAACCAACTTTTGGAGATTTGCTTCCCTGAATGATTGAGCATCAAGTCTTTAAATCCGAGGTCCACCGAGCTGCTTCTTTAAATGTACCAACCGAGGATGTTCACAAAGTTCCTCCATAATTTGCTGCTGTTCCGGTGTCTCCAGTTTATCTGCGTTTCGTTGGTAAAATGTTCTCGAGACGACAGTTTTCATACTTTTTTAATTGCCACTGTTCAGGCCCATTTATTACCACCATCCTATTCAGCGCCGTCTCACACCACAGCTGCCATTCATGGATCATTTAGCCAAACAGGAACTTGACACAAACAGGCTGGTTGTGTATATGTTTATGGTCGCCACATAACACGGAAATGCTGCTAGCTAGCTGTGGAGGAATCAAAACAGTAGAAGGCACGTCGGCTGCCTACTTACCCAGCGTTAAACGTAAACCGGGAGAATACGGTGGCCACAGTTAGCCAGTATTACAAGTAGATAGGATATATATAACTCTTCAGTGCTAAGGATTATTATTACCGTTGTTTTTATCCTTGACATACGTTTTCACTGTGAAGAAATTCCACCCAGAGGAGATGCCAGTCCTTTCCTCTGACAGCTAGCCAGCCAGAGAGCCGCGTCAGAGCGAAACTGGCCAACCAAGATCGTCTACGCGACACGACGAGCGACTCCGTTTGAAAACAACGCCTGCTTACCAGAAGTTATAAATCCGGGTTGACCTGATTACAGATCCAAAGACATAGTATGTCCGACAAATGGGATGGTTTTCCTCACATCTATATTAAGTAATGCACTTTTAATCTTCGACTGCATTATGACTGCATTAACATTACTGCTATAGAATAAAACATCAGCTGGCTTCAGCGGATTAGAACAAAACTTTCAGATATAATTTTTTATTGTATTACCCACATTACATAGTGGTAGTTTTGGTAGTATTAATTGCAGGTAAGCCGAGTCTATCAGCTGGGGAGTTTAAACCTGACAGTCTCGGTCCACATCTGGAGGATGTGCGTAATCTTTACACCTAACAGTGTGTAGGTGGGTTTTTGTTTTGTTTTGTTTTTTATTAGTAAAATTAACATACAAACAAAATGCACCATATATTACACGTTCAGAGAATAAACATTCCTTACATATTAGCAACTTTCATACATAGGAAAAAGAAAATATAAAGATGGGGTCACATAATTTAACAGATTATTAACTCACTAAATCAAAATCTTCCACAAAGGAAACAAAAAAGCAGCCTTTTTCTTTTTAACTAAAGTCAAAGATTTAACCAACAGGTTTAAGTCGTTTTTCCAGTAAGCCAGTGTTGGTTTGGTCTTAAAAAAACGACATTTATGTAGAAATTGCTTGCACAAGATTAATAACACATTAACACCATAATTAGCTTTCTTTTCTTTCAAAAACACTCCAAACATTATCATATTTCAGGTAAATGGGGTAATTTGAATCCCACTGGAATAAAGCCAGGTATGAAAAGCCAGCCAAAATATTTGTATAAAACCTGACAGTGTAGTAAGGAGCTTGGAATGTGTGCGTAAACGCTAGAGTTCATCCCAAACACCAGGGGGCGCTGTATAATTCCTAAAACAAGCTTTGTCCCTACCTTTCACACGGATGTGGATTTCGACCAAAAAAACCCACATGTGGAGGAAAACATTATCGTGTCCTCTCTAAATCTAACATGGAATTAAACGTAAAGACAACGAGCTCGCAGGCGTTGCTGTCGTGTGGTAACGGAGCAGGTTTGGATGCTTTTTATTTCTTTCTGTTTTGTCAAAATGTCAGGAGAGTTGGACTGGGAAGAAGTACAGAGCCTAAACTGCACATTCGTACAGGAAAACCAGCTTCTGTGTCAGTATTTTGTTGTAAAATACTAACTGTCTGTCAGACTATTTGAATATATGTAAGCAGCTACATGGAGTAATGAAAACTACACGTTTAGTTAAATCATTGCCAGCGTCATATAAACAAAGTTATTACCTAAAGACTTCAGAGCGCTGAGGCCCGATTTCCTCCTACTCGGTAAGTTTAGTGCCACAGTTCAGTGCTGTGACTCTGCAGGTCATGTTGAGTCCTTAATTGAAACGTAGTCGACCTTTATAACAAATAAACCCATCTTAGACTAATGGAAGTTAAAACAAAGTCCACGGATCACGTGTTTACAGCGTGGGGAAAAACATTTTTACTTATAAATAAACGGACAGTCTCTAATTGTGATGGTAGTTTTTGAATGTAGAGAAACATGTCAGCCACAAACGCAGACAAAGACTCCACACTGGGTAAAAGTAAATCAGGTTATAATGTTTCTGCGATGTTTTGTTGGAGGTTTCTGTTGATGTCTGTCAGTTAGAGTAAAAGTGCCGTTAGAGACATTAGAGAAACCAATCTTCACACACCATGTCAAAGTCTGCATTTTCCTTTTCTGTTGTTTTTATTTATTTTTTGTCTATATTTGGACTCACATTATAAATTAGAGTGTGGTATGTCATCCAACTCTCCCCTGGGAGGACTGGGAAAGCACTGGGTGGGAGAAGGACATTTGGAGTATCCTCCCTGCTGCTGCTGTGACCCAACTTTGTGGTCCATCCAGATAGACTGATTGATGCCTGATTATTTCTCAGTTTGGCAACTTTCTCTGCAGCTTTCCAGATTTAGATTAATCATTGTGCTGACTAGAGTAAACCCAAATCTTAGCTACACAGAATGGTCATTTCACTAACTTTCTTAGGGACCTCTATCAGGGACGTGTTGCCACAACTGCTGTATTTAAAAGATTGAAAGGATTTCTACACATTAACCCACTCATGAGAAATGTGTCTTTCTTTTCCCGCAGTATAGGAGCATAAGTTTGGTCATGAGGAGTAACTGATCTGTGTGTTGTGCTGCTAGGTCTCAGTGAGAAGCTTCTCCTCAATCCAAAAGCTGGAAGATCACTGCAGACAGAGAGAGTCCCCAGAAGCAGCGGTGAGAATGTCAAGCATTCTTTTTAGTGACAAGTTGGTCGATGGTTGATCTACCAAAAAGCATAAGAGTGATGTTTAGTGATGTGTGTGTGTGCGGGTCTTTCCCTGTGAATCAGTTCTGGACCGGCTGCAGAGCTTCCTCCCTCAGATGGCGGAGGCCAACGAGAAGCTGAAAAGACAGATGGAGGAGGCTCCTGCTGGACGCTTTGACATAGAGAGTGTGGACGAGGCAGAGAGGGTCATAGAGATGGTGAGTATCGGCCTGCCGCTGAACCAGCTGCACTGCCACCATCTGGTGACGTACTGAACTGTGACATGGAACATAAAGGACTCTGCAGTAGAGAAGTGTTGGAGGTTAGGGCAGCTGGTCTCTGGGTAAATCTGGCAGCTCCTTTCATACAAGGGCTGCGTTATTCCAAAGAGGTCTGCTGTGTGTGACTGCTAGGACTGCAGCAATGCATCGAGTAACTCAAATAACTCGGTTACATGCATGCATATTTTTTTCTTACCTTTGTTTAAACTGGAACTCTGTAGAGCTCAGTCGTCACCATGTCAACACAATTAGACATGCAGCATGTGGGGGAAGTGTTACAGTACTGAGCCTTGTTTTTCCAACAGCAGCACACGACTAGGGGTGGGTGATATAAACGATATAAATTTGGCCTACGATAGAGATTTTGACTATACCGTTCTACCGCGATAGCGCATGTTGATGATGTCATCAAACTGTGCCCGTTTTGGTCGAAAGCATCGCAGCGGCTACAACCATTATCATCTGCAAATTATGGCGAACGACAGTCATAGCAAGGAGATGAAGCACTGTTGAAATATGGGGAAAGCCGAAAACTGCGCTTCCTCCACTTCCGTAACATTGATTCATTAATGTTGAATTCTCTCGCAGCTGTTCTGTTCCCATGTTGTTGCAGTATATTAATAACTAACCTCGTATTGTGGATGAATGATCTCAGTTGTTCTCCTGACTGAAGTTTGGCCCGTGTACAGCATCCTGCTATGCGACTGCATTTGTCCCTGACCACCAGAATCCCTCACGCTAACTTTTATCAGTGGAAAAAAAGTTGGCGTTCATCCTCCAGCTTCACTGTGCTAATGTTATGCTAACATAGCTGTGTCGCTAGCAATCAGGTAGCACAACATTATATACCAGGTAGTCCAACTTCAGTAACCCTGCAAACGCCACTGCTGTTTAGTTTTCTGTCTTCATTTATGTTGGAAGTGGCAGCAGAGCTGTACGTTTGAATTAGTTTCAAAAATCTCTGTCAGAACATGGTATGAAATGTTTAGGTGGAAACTAGCGAGCTAACTTCCTGCTAACTTCTAACTCTGTTAAATTTAATAAATTCTGTTTTCATGGATGCATGGATGTAAAACTTCATTGTTACACCTGGTAAAGCAGCAACGCTGATGATTTTATTAAAGATGAAAGAATTTGGACCGTTTTTAACTCTCAGTGTTCGTTTGACTTTGGGACCTGAAGTTGACGGAGTTTTGGACCCAGATTACTGCGAAGCTCCTCACTACGGCAGCCGTAATGCTCTGACAATCCATCAAGCTGTGCGGCTTACCAAAGTTGTACTAAAACATTTTTAACAGATTTCTGCCCAAATCGGTTCGAGGTCAGTAAGCACAACCAGAATTCATACATAAGGAACACTCTCGATTTTTGAGAAAATTAAAGGATTTTAAGTCCTTATAGTGTGGAAAATAGGTTATACAGAAGAAAAGAATATATCGCGATATATATCGTTACCGCACGTGCTTCAAATTATATCATGATAGAATTTTAGGCCCTATCACCCAGCCCTACACACGACTTTAATCTTTGAACCATCATACTTTTATTCAACATTACAACTTAAGTGCAGTTCAGTTAGCATTAATTTACTGTTTTTGTCCTGTTCTTAATTCTTTCCTGCGTTTCCAAAACAAAAGTGAAAAACTGAAATCGACTCTATTAAGAGCTCCGTTTAAAGAATTCGGAGCACACGAGGAGAGTCGGTCTCTTATTTTGACAACAAAAAAGGCCCAAACTGTCTGTACTATTTATTACTTTCTATTAACGTCCATAAAGACAAGCATGATGGTGGCATCATCATTCTGTGTGTGCTCTTCTCAACACCCGGGGCAGAGATCGTTTCAGAACAGCTAACTGTCCCCAACAGCGCTGCAAAGATGTGAACGTGGCACACAAGCTGCCAAAATCCAGGTAGCCATGAGTTGTAACTGCTGCTGCAGACGCTTCCACGCAGCACTGAGTTAAGGCTCTGAACACTTTTGCAAATGACAAATTTTATTTGTTCTTCTGGTGGTGGATAAGTCTCAATCTACTGCTCATTTAATCAGTTTCTCTCCATTTAGCTGCTTTAAGTGCGTCTTTCACCAGTCGTGTAATTTTGTCCCCGTGTCCTCAGGATGTAGCACTCGTGGAGCTCAATGAGTCAGGTGACAGCGAGACGTCGGACTCTGAGGAGTCGGACTGCAGCGACGATGACGGCGAGGTCACAGAGCAGAACTTTAAACTGCCCGGAGACAAAGGCAAGAAAAAGAAAGTCAACATCCTGGTTCTGGACCAGCAGGGGGAGTAGACGAGTCAGACAGAGGGACCTTTAGTTTCTTTTCCATGGGAAACGTTTTGCCAACGAGATCCTCAGATGTCATGTCAGAGTTTCTTGTTTCTTTCGAACCTTCTTCACACACAGACAGCGGACAGAACAGCTGCTGCCTGTGGGAGTACAGTGAACACTGAAATGTGCACACAAACTGCCCATAGAGCCAGAACAAATGCTGGGAGTCTGCCCTGTGACCACGATGTCTGCATGCTGTGTTGTCTCCTCGTCCTCTGCTTCATGAACGTGAACACATCCTTGCATCAGTTTGGGCTTCAAACCGTTCACTTCAGCTCTCTGCTGAAGCAGGAAGTGAATTGTGAGTACAGATGGTAATGAAACAAAGCCTGCTCCACAACCAGCATTGAGTGAGTGACCCACCCCACATGGATGAATGATCCTGGATCCCATTGCAGATGCTGGCACTTGAACTGTGCTCTCCGTGGATGCAGCATCCATCATTGGACCGTTTTACACCACATGAGGCGCCTGTTTCTTCTTTGTGTTTGTGGATACAGCAGGCTCACTGACAGCACTCGCCTGAGCAATATACTGTACCCTCATCATGTACCCAGTGTGACAAACAATGCTTAAAGTGCACAGCATAAAGCGCTCTCAGCTTTTAGAATCCGAGCCTCTGTGTATATTTGTTGTTTTCACTTCTGTTAAGAATTATATTTAAATTTTCCACAGATTCTCCTTTTTTGAAACAAGGCTGTGAATGTGATTTTGAACCAACTGAATAAAGTTTAATGATGACATTGAATGGTAATTTTTGTAAAAGCTGAAAACACAAAATGCCTAAAAAGTGCCCCGAATGCGTGTTTCACCCTGTGAGTGTCGCAGTCACAATGTTTGTATTCAACAGTTTTTAATGACTGATCATCAGATCGTGGTCCATCCTATAAAACACTGAAACGAGTGTTGCTGCGCAGCGCCTTTAATCAACGTCAGCATTACAAAGTCAAATGGACACCAAGCTTTCTGGAGCCTTACTGTTTATTGACACGATCGCTCTCATAAAGACTGAGAAACATTTGCATCGTAGCCCGCGCTGCCTTCACTGACAATGTGGCATAATTAGAAAATTAAGTTTACGACTTTGTCACATGATCGATGTATAAAACATCTGGCTGGTGTACTTTAATGAATAGAGAACACTACATAGTCCTGCTGCAGTTCACAAATACAAGGTCAAAATGTATCAAAGAGTCTTTTTAACCTGTTTAAAAAAGTATTTACACAGAAAGTGACGTTTGGACACCGAGTGGATGTGTCAGGATGTCTGAACGGGCGTGATGTAAACAGCTAAACTAACACTGACGTTAAATACTGGCTTAGCTCAGTTCTAATGCAGCACCCAGCTCGAGGCGGTTCATCACAGCTTAGAAATATCTCACATTGATTCTTTGACATTTTAAATTCAGCTGCTAAGCAACCATTTCAGGAAATCAGGATTGTTTGATGTGACGCAGCGAACCAAAGAAAATGACCCGAAACACGAGGAAAAGCTGAAAGGAACTTAAAACGTGACTTAACTGCTCTGGATTACACACTCCAGTCTCTGAGCTCTTATGTAGTTTGTTCTAACTAAAATCTGAAAGCTTAAAATCAGTTTATACATTGTTTTCATCGTTAACATTCATCAAAGATCTCTGGGTCTGATCAGAAACACAGAAAGGTTTACATTTACAGCCAAAGAGATCGACGTCTGTCCAAACAGCGATGTCCTGACCGCTGGCCTCAGTTTATCCTGCTTCTCACACGGTTTACGTGTCTTCTGTTTTCCTAGCCTTGTTCCAGAACTGTGTGCTGAGCACCGCTGATCAGGAAGCTTCCTGAAAATTTGTAAAGCTATTTTAATGCTGCTTTCTAGACTCAAACATCCCCATTTTTCGGACCAGTGTGGATGTTTAATATTGCTATTTTGTTTGCAGCCTACACAAAGCTGCAGTATTCGTGGGTGAGTAAACGTGAGCCGAAAGGCATCCAGCACACACGGCACCCTGATGGCAGTACACAGATCAGGTGATCCAAGAATGAAAAACCAGAGAAAGGTAAAAAACATTTTAAAAAGGTCTTAAAGGGATGAAGAAGGCAGCATGACGTTTGGACGAATCAGTGAAGATAACTGATAGTGTTTAGATTTTTTGCTGTGCTAATTATTTTTACATCTTTAAAAGTACAGCCAGGAGCAGCTCGGCTCCTCAGGGACCAGCTGTGGAAACATGGCTGCAAAACAAAGAAGGCATGTTGTCCACCTCAAGGTCAACCAAGCTTTCCCCCATCACTCATACAGTACACATGCTCTGAACCATTTGCACACACACACACACACACTGAGTTCCTGTTCTTGTTCAGAGTTCATTGGGAGATTGTGAGCCTCAGTATTCCACTGTCACTGCTTTGGTCTTGAGATATTCCATGAGAGCATCCTCACCTGTGGACACAAACGACAACTTGTTAAAAGCTTGTGGGACAAAAGGTTTCCTACTTTAAAGAAAGGAGTTATAATAACGTCATATATTTACTTTGAATAACAGAAGCTTATCAGTAAGCGTGACCACCACGCCAGCTAGCATCAATTCAAAAGTCAGAATTGAAACAGCCCTACTCATGTAAATTTTGTATAACCTGTAAATTGTAAATACTGTAAAACCACTGTCATTTAATGGTCAGGCATTGCATCGCACAGCTACAAGCATTTCACCTCATGTCATACTGTGTATGGTTGTGTGTGTGACAAATAAAATTTGAATATAATATTAAATAAATGTAATAAATTCCAGTTGTCTTCTCACCGAGGTCTTTGCCAAAGCCTGACTGCTTGAAACCCCCAAAAGGTGTGGCAACATCAGTCTTGTTGTAGGTGTTCACAAACACGGTTCCAGCCTCCAGCCGCTCGCTCACATACATGGCCTTGTTAATGTCGCGCGTGAACACGCCTGAAGCCAGACCGTACTCCGTGTCATTGGCTCTCTGCAGCACGCCGTCCACATCTCTGGAGGTTGGAGGAAAAGAGCAGAGCGAGGATATGAAACACCGAGCCACGACTCTACGGTGTGATACTCGTTACCCTCGACTTACCCGTCCTTAAATTTGGACACCACCATGACGGGACCAAAGGACTCTTCTTTGGCGAGGAACATGTGGTCCTCCACATCAGTGAACACGGTGGGCTCCATGAAGAAACCTGAAGGAAGACGGGCGCCCATAATCACGCTCTGATGAACTGCGTTACAGCAGCTTTACTGTTTTATTTGACCTTTCTTGTTTTATGTCATTTTAAAAAATGAATTCGTGCTCCATGACTGAGCCCTGTCAGGTGCTTTTATTGTGACAGGCTCATAATGGATGTTGGAAAAATAGATTTGGTATCAATGACCATGTGAAAACTATAAATCTATACTGTGGTTTCAAGATTTCAAATAATAGTTTGTTTGAATATTCCATGATAAGGCCTGAATGTACTGATTCCACAGTCAGTGCTGGTGCAACCTAACTTGCTCATATATTAGAATCCGATTTGTGCTTTTTCTGCACCAACTTCATGCTCCCAGTTATTTGGCTGGTTTTTGAAAGAGAAACAATCTTTAGATGAGACATTAAATTGGTAATGAAAATCATCTTTCTGTTCTTACATGCAGTATTCAAGGACTAAAACAACAGAGGACGAGTGTAGCAGCCATTTAGCCTCCAGAGAGGGGCGTGTTCTACCTGGCCTGTCGACCCGTGTGCCTCCGTACACCAGTGTGGCTCCCTCCTTCACCCCGATCTCACAGTACTCCAGCAGCTTGTCCAAGTGGGCTTTGTGGTTCTGTGGGCCGTGGTCTGTGGAGCGATCCAGGGGGTCTCCGATCTTCATCTTCTTGATCTCCTCCACCTTTTAAGGAGAGGGTGTAAAGACAGGATTATGATTTTTCTGACAGCTAATAATGCCGGTTTGGCTTCTTCTGCTTCTTCTAAAGTCACATGATGGCTGTTTCGGCACTCACCACTCGGTCAATGAACTCGTCGTGTATGGACTCCTCCACAAAGAGACGGCCGGCAGCGATGCAGTTCTCGCCCTTGTTGAAAAACACCGAGCTCATGCCCTGTGAGGCAGCACGCACAAACACACAAGCATCAGTGTGCCATTTCAGTCACACTCTGTGGCGTTTCAGGATCTCACCAACACCAGAACCTTGAAAGGAACCGAACTGTCTCGTGATTATTCATAATTACTATTTATATGCACAACTAACTGGTCTACAAAATATCACAAATTGGTTCCCTGAGCGTTGTTCCCTCACCATGCGAACAGCCTTATCCATGTCGCAGTCACTGAAGATGAGGAGGGGGGACTTCCCCCCGAGCTCCAGAGAAACTTTCTTCAGATTACTGACTGCACAGCTGTGAGAGAGAGAGAGTAAAGTACTGTGCAGCTGTGGTGTGCGACCTGTAAGAGTCAGCCGGGTTTTACCTCTTCATGATCTGTTTGCCGATAGGCGTAGAGCCGGTGAAGCCCAGCTTGCGGATGTCTGGGTGCTCGGACAGACGCTGTCCAACCACGCCACCTGGAGGAGATCGAGAAGGTCACGTGACAGAGCCCAGGGGGATGACACAATCTTCCACATGTGCTGCAGTCAACTGGACACTTCTACACGTGCTGTGAGTAGTTCTGCCTACAGCTATTTCTAATGTTGTAGTCACAAAAATCCACACAGGCTGAAGGACAAACAAATGCTCCTTTTTCCCTGCTGTGATCGTACAGTTTTAGCTCTCCAGCCAAATAAAACGATGCAAATGAAGCACAGAGAGAAGGACTGAAGTGCTCACAGCGCTGATCTTTGAGAACTTTCCCTAAAGAAGGAATAACCAAAAAGAGCCTGTTTAAACTGTACAGATACTGTTCATTACCAGAGCCTGGTAAAATATTGATGACTCCTTTTGGGATGCCTGCCTTCACTGAAAGCTCAGCAAACTTTAGTGCCGTCAGTGGAGTGACCTGTAAATATCAAAAATAATCATTACAACACATAAAATGCCCAGGAAGAACTGAAACAGTACACAGCACGAGGAACAATGAACCCACCTGTGCAGGTTTGAGAACCAGCGTGTTTCCAGCTGCCAGGCAAGCTGCACTCTTCCACGCCAGCATCATGAGAGGGTAGTTCCACGGGATGACTATGGCACACACACTGTGACAGGAAATAAGCTCTTCAGTCAGTGAAATCCACAGAAATGCGTATACTGTCTAAATAGCTGAGGATAATTAGGTTCAGGTTAGTGAATGCGGAGCTTTTACCCCAGAGGCTCTTTCTTAGTGAAGGTCAGGTTGCGGTTGGGCCGGGCTTGGTTGATGGGAATCGTCTTACCCTGCAGAAAACAGACAGAGTGTGCTGAAGTGAAGAGCTTAGGTTGTGTGCCACTAACACACAAACCCTGAGAAACCTTCACCTACCTGGATCTTGTCACACCAGCCAGCAAAGTAACGGAAGGTTTGGATGGACATGCCGACATGTGTCTTGAGGGCCAACGTGTACACGGCTCCTGAGTCGATGGACTCGATGGTGGCCAGCTCCTCCTGATGTTCCTCCATCAGGTCAGCAAGCCTGAAGGGAGGAGCTCGATGTTAACTCTCTATATCTATTCTATATCCGTGGAGAACCAATTCCAACAGTCTTAGAGAAGCCCATAAAGAGCCTGGGACAGTGGGACGATGCAGACCTCAGTGATACGTGGCAACTAGAACAGTTAAGGCAGAACTTGGCGGATGACCTCAGCGGATTAACAACACTGCACTCCCAGGGAAACTGAAGCTCTGGTGCTTCCAGTTTGGGTTATTACCCAGACTACTGTGGCCATTGACAATGTACGAGGTCTCACTCAATCATGCCAATCGACTAGAGAGGCTAGTGAGCTCCTACGTTAAGAAGTGGCTCGGACTTCCCAAGTGCCCCAGCAGCGTTGGACTCTACAGCGACAGGATACTGTCATTGCCTATCTCTAGCCTGGTAGAGGAGTTTGAATGTGCACAAGTGAGGCTTGAGATGTCACTCACGGACTCCCGGGACCCCATAGTGGGAGGCACTGCTCCCACCCTAGCAACGGGGAGGAAGTGGACCCCGGCCACATCGGTGCTACAGGTGAAATCTGCTCTTCACCATCGTGACGTGGTGGGTCACGTCCAACAGGGCAGAGGAGGATTTGGTCTTGGCGCAGTAACACCTCAGTGGCAACAGGTATCTGTAACCGAACGTCGGGAAATGGTGGTGGCGGAGGTGCAGCGACAGGAGGAAACAGCCAGACATGCCAGAGCCATAGCGCTGGCCAAGCAGGGTCGCTGGATGAATTGGGAGAGTGTGGAAAAGAGGAAACTCTCATGGAGTGAAATCTGGGACATGGAGTCTAATAGACTAAGTTTCATCATCCGAGCGACATGCGATGTGCTGCCTTCCCCAATAAATCTGCAGCTGTGGTTTGGAAAGGACCCATCCTCCCCCCTGTGTACAGTCCCAGCAACATTCAAGCACATCTTGGTTGGTTGTAGGACTAGCCTTACTCAGGGCAGACACACATGGAGACACAACCAGGTTCTCAGGTGTCTAGCCGAGAAAGTTGAGCGCAAAAGAAAATCCATCAACGCTCAACCTTCACGAACCAAGAGGAGCGTCAGTTTTCATCAACATTTATCCAGGAAGGAGACAAGCCGAGGACGAGCCCCTCAACCCAGACCTGGGCCCGCTGAAGGTTGCCAGGGATTGGCAGATGCAAGTGGACTTGGATCAGAGGCTAATTTTTCCCGCAGAGATCATAACAACAATTTTGCGACCAGACCTCGTCCTTTGGTCTAACTCCTGAAAACTTGCGTACGTCATTGAGCTGACGGTACCATGGGAGGCAGCAATTGAGCGTAAGAAGCTGTGGTATGCCAACTTGGCAACACCCGATGAATCCAAGGTCCACTACTGACGATGTGTCCCAAATCTTAATATGATAATCTAGATCAGATTCTCCCCCCTCCACAGTTCTGATGTTTCTGCAACCCCAAAGTAATCCTCTAGAGGGAGGTACTCACCTGTAAAGAAGACTTCCTCTGTCTCTGGGGTTCATCTTGCCCCAGGGCCCATTTTCGTAAGCTTCTTTGGCAGCAGCCACAGCTCTGTCCACATCACCCACTGAGGCATAGGACACCTTACAGATCACCTGGTTGAAGGTTGAGATCGTCAAACATGATCCAGTGAACATGGCATGGAAAATCTGTGCATTGAGCATAGTGAGTGTGGTCATGTGACTCACGGATCCATCAGTAGGGCTGATGCTATCATAGGTCTTTCCATTTTCTGAATCCTCAAACTTGCCGTTGATGAAACACTGATATGGCATTTTCACTGTCATGTTGTTTACGTCTTTGGTTGCCTAGGTAACAATGGAGAAAACCCCAACTGGGTTTGAGTGACGGGATCTCCCCTCGTTACTTGATTGATTTTGCTTTAGCTCGGATTTAGACTCACATAATCAACGACGAGCTCCTCCTCCTGGTCCTCTCCTCGCAGCTTGCGGACAAACATCTGGATGAAGTCCTGGAATGTGGTGGCCATGTACACATCCTCGTTCTGTAGCTGCACGCCAGCACACTTCTGCTTCACCTCCTCAACCAGTCTGCACACAGTGAGGACAGCTCTTTATCACACACTGCGTTTTTACACGTTTATAAGCTTTTGTTTCTGCTTGGTGAACTCACATTCATGTTAACAACTAAAGGTGAGACACGCACACCAAGCTCCTGCTGTCTGGTTAAAGGGCGCGAGATATAAACCAATCACCTCGAATGTAATATCTCTGTTCATGTATTATTCACATATAAATGTGTGTGTTAAAGCTGCATTGTTGGCAGTGAGACTGGGTCAGGGTTTTTGTATTATCCAGACTGGTATCAGGAGACTCTCCAATTGCTACAATTCCATTCAATGCAATTCAGCTGTCAATTCAATTTTATTTATATGGCGCCAAATCACAACAGGACACTTAACATTACAAAAGCAGACATTTATGTGTGGTTACCCCAGGCAGACAGCCCTGAAAAAATGCAGCCAATCCATAAGTGGAAAAGAAAACAAAAAAACTGCAGTTCCTCTAGTGGCCACTAGAGGAACTGCGTTCATAAACCAGAGGACTGTTTATGAACACAGCTTGCTTATGAAGCCAACCAGCTAAACTCATGCTGAGGCTTCAAATTGCATCTGAAAGCAATTAATGATAACAGGGTGGCTATGTCCATTGTTTATATACAGTCTGTAGTGGTTTCCAATGTCCACAGTGGAAAAACCCCGACATATACAAACAAACACAATAACTGATATCAAAATGAAGATTTACTGGTCAGGTTGGAAAAGTCGGAAAAAGGTACTCTGGACTGAAACATCTGCTTTGAAATAACTTTTAAATGTAGAATTCAGTTATTGAATCAGAGCCTGAAATTATGCAGACTTTCTCTTTTTTGTGTGAAATGTGCACACAGTTGGTTTATCATGGTGTTTTCTTTATAAAAGCTATACTATGCATTTATTCTAGAGGTTACTTCTGATATAAGCCAGTATCTTTTACCCATAACAAATTTAAAGAAGGCGTTAGCTGCACAGTGTTCTGTATAGACTGTGTTTTTTTAAAGTGAATTCAGGATTTGAGCCCAAAGATCTGAGATTTTAAATGTGGCCTAAACTCAGTATAACGGAGCTGACTAGAAACTGAGCGTGCCATCTTCAGCACAACTTAAAATACATGACATAATTGTATCTGTAAAATGAAAAGACTGCTCCACCTGTGGATAACAAGAAGAGGTAAAACATTTCTGAGCAGTCCCTGCACTGATCCGTCTCACCTGACCACATCCATGGAGGCGGCGCCGGACTTGAAGAAGTCTGTGGTGTCCTCAATGGCTGGCACGTTGCTGAGGATGCCCTTCCAGATGTTCTGCAGTAAAAAAATGTTTTAAATGGGCTGATGTCTTTCATTTAAATCATTTACAGTCTATTGGGAGACAGCAGGCTAAAAAGAATCAGATAACACAGGGGTTCACTTGCCCTGATCTCCTCTGCCATTGTCTTCTCGTCATCGGTCAGCTCCACACTGGCGCTTTCTCCGGAAGAGAAATATTTGGAAGCAGGAATCATTTTCCCATCTTCAAACTGCAGGTTCTTCACTAGGAGCTGTGGCACAAACAGAGTAAAGATGAAACAGGCATGCTGGCAGTGCATTTGATTCAGTCAGCTGTGGTTGAGTTAACCTTATTGCCTCTGGAGTTCACTGTCTGATAGCTAATAGAGGCACCGACACACTCATCCAGCTCGGCTTTTGTTTGCTCTCAGTTATTTGTTTTATAAGGTCACTCACAGCTTTGCCGTCAGTTCCATACAGGACGAGCCCGTTTTTGGTGACACGAGCAGCCTGAGAAGCCCCCTCGATGTCCAGCGGCTGGCCCTCAGGTACAGACCCCCCCAACATGGAGGAGCCATAAAGGGTCACAGACTGAGGACAGACCCAGAGAAGATTTTAAAATACATCCAGAATGTTTGGTTTTTATCTTTGCTCAGTCATTCTGGAAAACACACCTGGCCATCAATGACCGTCCAAGCACCGGGGACTTTGTCGTGGCCACGGATCCAGTTGTGGATCGCCTCGGCTGGCTGTGCCAGATTCACCTGGGGGACACAAGAAGAAGCCAGTGTAAACAGTGCCTGAGCTACGTTTCCGAGAAAGAGAAGGAAGGTCAGCTGACGGCCTCCGATTTAGCAACACGTGGAAAAATGATGCTAGAAAACGAGACTGCTCCAGGAATAGCACATTTGTAATAGCTGCAAGCAAACATCTCTCCATGTGACAAATCAGGAAGCAGCTAAGATCAGCTCCACCTCGCGCTTTCACGTTACAGGGAGACCCACCCCAAACCAGTCTCACTTGCACAGCTAATAGGAAATTTCCAGTGAGAGAGTTATTACACTGAGCAGCTGTTCAGAGTACGAGCTGCATGTGTAAAGAGGGGTTAACTTGGGCTTGGTCGTATAAATGATAGACTCTATCAGTGTTTCTTGTAAGCTATTATAAAGCCGAACAACCCGACTCATACACAGTTGTTGTGCAGGAATAATATTCAGACCGTCATTCTGAAGGTCTGGATACACCCCTGATGGCAATCCAGACCCGATGCACGTTCCTGATATGATGTAGTGCCTGATCTCAGACTGCCGTCTAACGTTCACCTTGGCGTTGGATTTCTTCTGAATGCCTTCATAGCTCGCTCCTTCCTCTGGCTGAGGAGTCCGAGGGGCTTTTCCATCAGCAATGAGCTGCACAGACTCCACCTGCACCAAGAAACAGAGTCCAGGTGACAGCTCAGTGTTTCAGTTCAAACACAAGCACAAACATTGGGGTTGGTGGAGTAGTGCAATGTAGGTTTAGATGCTGAAGGTCCAAATGATTAGAACTAGTCCTTTTCATTATACTGAGGTCCATGTGATTACCATAGCCTTGATGCCCCCGGGGAAGAGGAAGCGGTTGTACAGTGTGTCCACAGTGTCATTGGGCTCGACATCACACTCGCTCTGCAGCAGGATGGGTCCGGTATCCAGTCCATCATCAGCCCAGAACACTGTGAAGCCGGCTTTCTTATCTCCATGGATCAGAGTCCTGGTGACATATAAAAGGGAAACAAAGAGCTGTGTCATTAAACAATTATATTTAGAACAGATAAAGGCTATAAAGTAGACCATTACAGTGTACTAACAGTTAATCCTGAAACCAGAAAAAACCACAATCAGGGAGCCCTTTAAAGGTGCAATACAGAGAAAGTGGGGAGAAGCCATCGTTAAGGTTGTATGGGCAACAGGTTTCTTATTAAAGGCAACTCAGCGCATTGACTGTGTGACATGACAGCTGTACTGCATGACAACTTTAACCATAAAGGTTCCACACAGAGACAAATTTGATTATCTTTGATTTATTGTTTCAGGGTGAGCATTTCTGCTAAACTGGCTCGTGCTCAGTTTGAAGTGTCAGCGCCTCTGCACGCGGAGAAAGCTAACCAGGAAAGGAAGGATTCCATAATGAGGAAGGTTTTATGGCACACCGCTCCACCACCAGCAAGCCCATAGCTTTTTTATGACAGTCAAACCAGGAAACACATCGACCCGACTGTGTTGCTCTATTACAGATGCATGCAGAGGTGCCCAGCGGTCTGTTAAATACCATATTTTACTGCCTACTGAAATGTTACTAAGAAAATGTTCTCAACAGTCCTTTCCTTAAAACGATCGCTTTCTACTTAGAGAAAAATGGTGAGCAGTGTTTTTCTTTTTAATCAAAGTATGTTTATACATAACTACATTTATAGTTGCACTGAACAGTTTGAGCTTTGGACGGTTCTTAGCTAGCCTCTTTGCTAAGTTAAAGAAACTCGTGGGAAAGATTTCTGCAGAAAGCAACACCTATAACTCATGCTCCTGTTGAGCCAGCATTACATTATGGTGAGTCTCAGCCTTCGGCTCGGGCAAACTGTAACTGTCTCTGTGCGCTTTGTCGATCACTGATGTGCTGAAAATAAGTTCGAAACCTCACTTAACATGAGAGTTTGGGGTTTTTCCTGAAGGAGGAGCTTGGAGACTTTTCCTTTCTTGGGTTGAGATTTGTTGTTGGAAGTAGAAGAGATAAGAAAGCCAGGCTGCTTCGAGTTTGAGGTCAAACATCGCAGGTTTAAACCTACCAGACCAGGGGTGGCAAACATAATTACACATGTCAGTTATTCATGGACTGTTTGCATGTTGGAGCCAAAGCTTCAGCACTGCTGGGAGTCCATACAGGCAAAGGTGGGCCAATCACATGCACAGACAGACTGGGATCGTACCATTACGTAAGGAAGGATGGGGGAAGACGTTCCAAAGGTTGCAGGTGTTTTGGCAAAGGCCAGGTGCACAAAGAGACGGATGAGTGTGTAAATGAGTCTCACAGGCCTGAATGTGCGCTTGAAGCCATTTATAATTCTTAACGTGTTTGATCTCTGCAAAAAAGCACAAGAATACATTTTGGACTTTTAACTGTATTTTCATGAGTTTTACAGCTTTTCCTACTGATAAGCCCCTCCCACATGGCCATTCATGCTAAACAAGGCCATTAACAACAACAATTAACCTGTTGTTTATTGTTTAAGCCCCAACGCCCCCAGTACCGGGGGGGGGGGGGGGGGGGGAGACGGACATCGGGTTCAATGGGATGTACCGCCAGATCTGTTATTTAAATATAGACGTGTGGTATCCACAGGAATGTCAGAATCTCAGCTAAAAGCGAATAAACCAATTTCAACAACAGATCAAGGAGCAGGCAAACAGCTTCTGCAAAAACATGTAATCAGGATACTTTATGGAAACAAAGTGTGGATCCCCTTGCTTCCATCACAATAATAATCGCACTTCCTGCACAGCTCTCTCTCTCTCTCTCAGTGAGCTCTGAGACCAGTTTCCCATCAACAATCGATGGAGATACTTTCTGCCTTATTGGGATTACTCGTTGTTGGTCGCTCTGTTTCTGTTGGGTCTTTTCCCCAAAATAACCTCTGACAGGACAGGAAGGCTCATTTCTTAAGCCTTCCTGTCTTTTGATAGGACAGAATATTTATATTCCTTATAATTAAATCCACTTTGTTCAGTGTACCAGTATCACCAGCATATCCCAAGCTGTCAAACAAACTCCTTTCGAACCCCCTTCTTTCTCACCAATTGATTGCTGAGGCTCCTCTGTGCAGGGGCAGGATGGAGGGGTGGTAGATGATGGAGCCATGCTTTGGGTGGTCGATGACGTTCATGGGGATGAACTGTGAGCAGAAGGGCATGACATTGAGCTCAGCACCCACCGCCTTGTAGGCATCCACCACTTCTGGGATGGGTTTCCCCTTAACCCGCCACCGTGGGAATTTGAACACAGGTGTCCCCTCTTTTTCTGCCGCCACCGCTAAGAGAAAAGAGGACATTTTAGGG